GTATTTTCAATTCACTTTTCTATTTTGTAATAAAAGCGATTACAACATACCACTACAGATACTGTACGTTTATGATACTTGATGGTGTGATGAAGAGTATGATACATTCTCACTCTCAAGATGATTTTCCTTCGAAAAATCAAAACGTTTCAGTTGAATATTGCTCACATTTAGCCACACATAAAAGTCCTTGACGTTCTTTCCAAACGGATAGCGAGTATCTATATCACATCATGATCGTTACATTTCTATTATTGTAACATGTAATGAAATTTCCTGCAAAAAAATGATATGAGTCTCTTATAAGAAAAACACATCTATTCGTTTATTCAATATAATTTCTTCGATTGTCGTTCAACATGATATTCTTAATTATATGCCACAACTTCATTCTATACTTTCTATATTGGTACATATGTTGATACTATTGGCTTATCCTACAAATTATCCAATGAAGATATTCGACGAACATTAACAAATATTGGACAACAACATGTAACTAGGATCGTTAATTATGTTGGTATCGGCAAAGCTACATGCTCGATTTTCTCAGTTACTTTTGCTTTTGATTATCTTGAATATCTTGGCAATGCATTTCCAAATATTGTTTTCTCTTTCTGGTAGAGAAGAGTCCAGCAGGGTGGGTGTGGATGTGGGCGAGAGTCCGACTATATATCCACACTCACACCCTAATTTAATATGTACTTTTCTCAAAACTTCATCTTATTGAATGTGATGAAATAAATAGGATTCATGATTATAAAGATAATTTATTAGTTATCAAATAAAAATGAGATATTAGTATGAAGTAGAATAATATGATATTAGTAAGTAAGAATAAAAATAAAAAGTAAAGTTAGTTGAAAAAAGAAAAGGTGTCTGTACTGTTCAGTTAAAATTTGATTTCAAATGACAGATACATCTATTGTTGTCCTCTTTCGAAATACAACTCGCCAATATTGAGAACGTCCTTGGTTCATGTCTTCATAAATTTTAGTACCGGGTAATCCAGCAAACAGACGAAAATATTCTTGTTCTTCAGATTGAATATACCGTTGAATGAAATCAGTACGAGATATATTTTGAATGTCAAGTGCGTGAAGAACATTCCTTGTAATATTAATTTTTTCTTCAATAATTAATTCATCATTTGCTATTAGATTATAAGTTGATGTACCTGATCCATTCACGTAACAAACATCACACCATAGAAGATATCCGTTTGGACGAAGTACACGAACGACTTCATTGGTAAACTGTGTGATTGCTACTGGTTTGCCAAAAGAATGTGTTGCTTCAATACAAAGAATAATATCAACTGATTCATTTTCAAATGGTAAATGTTTTGTTGCATCAGTTACTACGAAAGAAAGTCGAGGAATTGTCGAATAAAGTTGTTGACATAACTTAATGACATCTTGAGAACGATCTATTCCAATATAGGAGTGAGGTGCATGAGTATGAACACACCATGCAGCACCAGCACCTCTACCACAATTAATTTCAAGGACATTCTTATCTGTTAATGTCACATTTGCAAGAACCTAGAAAATAAAACAAAATATTTCAGTCATGGTTTGTACATCGGAAAATCTCATAACGTTTTCGACTTTTCTTTGTATATCACCTATTCTGTATCGTATGTTCGTAATACAGTGAATAGCTTTCTCAACAGTTACTTCAATTGATTTTAAGAGATTTTTCTAACAGACATCTAGTATGCATACCGCTGAAATTGTTTATAGTCATTACAGTAGAACTGCATTTTACATATTATTTTGATGTGGTATTTTTATTAGATGATTTTCTTTTCATATTTAGAATGTATAGCATCTAATAAAACAATCTTATATTCATATTCATGTAAATCCCTTATAAATCAATGACAATGACAATCTCTGTCGATAGTAGATGCGAGGTAGGGCAAAAAAACCCACTAAAGTCTTGTATTCTTTTCTACATACCTGTTCATAAAGCTTTCTTGAATAATAGCCAGTATGATCATCAACATATTCATCCATATCTGCATAGCCATAATTCATAAATTGTAATTCGTTTATATTCGTATAGATGCTTGCAATTCGTTCGTACCAGAGACACAATTTGTTAATTGTCTCGTATTCTTACTGATATTTTGCTAGATTGTCATGAACTATTGTCGGCCGTGTTAATCTTGCATTTGCTGTATAAGATTCTAGAAAAGAGAGATATAATATAATAAAACGATGAATAAATTCATATGCAATAATTAGAAGTAAACAGACTAACTTCAAACGGAGCTATGTTAAAGAATAAAATATCAGAGTACAGATATGAAAAAAAACGTATGATAAGTATAAAAAGATGTAAGATTTTTGTGTCTATTTCGAAAAGAGTGTGAATGCACAATCTTATCAAGATGTTTGATGTATAGTTTTTTAATTTTTCAGTCTAATTATCAAACTAGTTAATTTAACTACAGTTTAAGACATTACGAATCCGGTACTCTATCGTATCTTCATCGTATCATATATATGTATTATTTCTTGATATGAAATGATAATTTTAAACCGATCTAATACTAGTATGAGATGCTGATAAAGAGATTTAATTGAATCCTATATTAATAAAAGAATATGATAAAAAATAGATTCGATGTATATTATATTATATGCTACAGTCAACGGAATAGTTTTAAAAAAATCTAGTGCAAGTGAAAAAAAACATTAACCAAATGATTTTTATTATGGCTTGTCAGGAGAAAATCTAGAAAATGCTATACTCAATTTAGCTTCTTATATCGGAACTATTATATGATCAATTTTAAGAATAGTATATCTCACTAAAAAGAAACGATAGGATATGAAAGAATGAACATTAATAACGATTAGATAATATCTTGGAAGTCTTATATAAGAACAGATCATCTGTCTACGTGACTTACGTGCAGGAATCCCTTTCCAGTGAGTATCCGGTGGTAATTGATCATTTTTCATTATCAATGTCATGGGATAAAGACGATTGTTACCCATTAGTTTGCAACCTGGCATTACAATTGAGTAACTCATCAGTACACATGAATTACCGACTGATACAGGAGCTAGTTTAAAAATACGCTGTTCGAAACTGTGGCCCTAAAAAGATACAGAAAAACAGTTTTATGTGAAAGTAAATAACAAAAAACTTATGTATTACCTGTATCTGTGTACGCACATGAACTCGGACATTATCTCCTATAGTCATCAAAGGATAATCAGTAATACTGGATATGTCAGCCATTATGACGTTCTCACCAATATGAGCGCCGTATGCTCGAAATAGTCGAATGAGCCATTGTGTATTACCAAGAAATGGACAAATAAATTGTGCATGATCTTGGCTTATTCTTGTTATTATTTGTTCGATAATTTGATAACGTATATATGAACGGCATTTATAGAGGCTACAAATAAGTATTGTATGAATGATTGATCCACCAACGAGACCAACAAACGAATAAATGCTTAATAAAAGACATTTGCTGACATAATGAGACAAACATGTATGCCAAAATGGTATGATTTCGATCTGATCTTGTACTTTTGACCTTACAGGCAGTTGAAATGGCATTGTACGAGCTGGAACACCCGTAAAAACTTCTCCGCATTTGCTTTTTGTCTCTCGTGATATGCGTGTTAAATTGCCAATCATTGTTTCAGATTCAAGGCAACTACCAGGCAAGATTGAACATCCATTGGCAAGGTTTGTATGAGATCTAAGCATTATTTGATCTATACGATGATCACCTGAGAGTGTCAACTCAGTAAGAACTGTTAAGACTCCACCAAAAGTAGTAACACCTGTTTCAAGTTTCAACAGATTTGTTGGACATAATAGAAAAGTGTCTATCTCAGCGAGTTTGACATTCTCTTCGATATGAGTACCTAACCAACGAAGAATATAAGGATAAAGATAATCGTAGCTAGTCGATAATAACCAAGCATGATGAAAACTAGATACAATTAATTGACGAAGCCATATTTTTTGTAAATATAACCAGGATGCTATCGGATATATTTCACCCGCCACACAAGAACCGACTACATATTTAAGCAGAATGGCAGAAATAAAACAACCAATAATGGACCATAAAGTCCAACAAAAAGCAATATTGATTAGTAGTGGTCTTTTTCCAACTGAATAAACTTTATAGACGAGGATCAAAAGCGTACAATGAATACAGATTATCGAGATGATTGCAACAATTTGGTAGATTTTATGCCATATGGATAATGATCTATTACTCTGCATAATGGGGATGTCTGAAGGAAGAGATTTGTGTTCCTCACCATCAACAATTGTTTCAGATGCGACGAAGGCAGTGACTGATGACATGGGTTGAACAATAATATTATGTTGCATATAAACTCCATCAAATAGAATCGATCATGCCCCGACTGAACAATTAGATCCAATTCTAATTGGACTCAGTTTGAAAGTATTATCATCATTAAAATATAAACAGTTCAGACACGTTTCATTAGCAATCCAACTTCCATCATCAATTTCTAACAACCATGGAGCATCGATAGTTGTGGTATAAATATGTGTATTGAGACTAATTCGTGCACCACAAAGACGAAGATAATAATTGTAGAGTGGTGTGCCAAGTATATGGTGCAACCAAAATGTATTATTATTCCAAAGTCGATCCAAAAACCACCATCGATAATAATTCCAAGAGAAAAGATTATCAGTTTTGTTGTAGCACAGTGAGAATTGACGTGAGCATCTTGAGGGTGGGTGTGGGTGTGGATGGGTGCGAGAATGTGGGTGTGAGTGCCTTTTCACTATCCCTCATTCACACCCACATCTAACTTACATCTACATGCAAAGTTAATCTAATTAAAGAATGATCTTTAAAACCCGAACATTTTCTCTAATATCCAATTACTGTGTACTATACAATTGTTTGATATTTTGTTTATTGATTTTCATTATCTATAGTGCTTAGGATCGTTTGCAATTTCAAATGTTATAATAAACATCAACTATGGAACAGAATCATTATTACTAATCAATGTAGTTATAGATTCAAAACATACCTGATGATTGTCAGCCTAAGCAATCGCCGAAACACGTCGTATGATGCTTTGAATCCCATCATCTTTATAAATACCTCCACGCCCTCAAGGTTTTCTGGATAAATTAATAGCTCCTTTCGGTCAAATGGTAAGCGACAATGAGTGCTTTTGACAGAACGCACTGATGAATGTGTTGTGAGGGTGCGCTGTGATGTGAGTGTAGGTGTGGCGTTGGGTGTAGGTGATATTCTTCTCTTCAACCATACCCTAAAATTTAATAGTAATAAGAAAAATAACGATACTATGAATGTGTTAAAATCAGAATGAACAGTAGTTCTTTAATATTAAGTGATACAGTGTACGTATTTCCTTTATTTTGTTTAATCTTGTTTATGACGTTTCATAAGTGATAATACCGATATTTATTAGATTTTTAATAAGAATTAAAAATAACTAACAAAAAAATAAGATAAATTAGAAGAATCAAACTAAAATGATTATTGTCTGTTCAAGAAACGTATATATTGATGATATCAAAATAATACATTTAATAGCAAGCAAAACTAAAATAAACTGAATATTTTCTTTCTTTTTTTGTAAGTTTTCTCTTTGTTATTTATTTTATTAGACTCGCTACATAGTTGCACATGTTGAGAATTTGCTTTTCATTAAATATCCAAGAGGAATGACTGTCGCCATACATTTGAAATAGCTGAATATATTCATGATTCACTAGTGTGTCAAGGTTATTAAATAATGTATTGGTGTAGTATGATGATAATTCTAAATCATCGTTCAATGTAAAGTTTTCCTGCATCTTGTTAGCTTTAAATAATACAATGTTTGTATTTCTGTTGGTTATATTTAATCCGAACGGTTCATTGTCTATCATCGGTAAATAATAGTTCATTGAATCGTTAACATATACTTGATGTATTTTGCCATTTTCAAAAGAAGCCTTGCTTACATTAAAGTATGAGTCGATCATAAAAATATTATCAACCTTCTCACCAGCATTAATCAATTGACGAGAAATTTCAAACGATAAAATGCCGCCAAAACTCCAGCCTAGAAAGTTATATGGACCATCATGTTGGATTTCTTTAATATACTTTATGTATACAGGAGCTAATATCTCGAAGGAGAAGCCTTTTTTCGTATTTTTTGCTTGAACATCCAGATAGTAATTGTTGAATATTACCAGTTTATATTGCGATAAATGAGGCACAATATTGTTGAAGTAGCTTTCGGCACCCCCCTCGCCAGGCGGCAAAATGAACAAAACATTATCGCAACTTTCATTGATCACAACGAACGGATGTTCGAAAAAACTCGAATAGGTAGCAACCTGATGTGAAATTTGAACTTGTTCATCGAGAGAGATACCCTCCTGAGCAAAAGAAGTAATGTCTACAAGAGAAACCAGTGAGTTTATATATCTGATGGATGTTTCTTAATTTAAAGATGTTTTACCTTGATTGATATGTAGTATCTGACATCGTGTTGCCTGCGTATCATTAGATGGAAGTGTTTGAAGTAGTTGTGCATGTTGTCGAATAGTTGGTTGCTGAAGAAAGAGACCAATCGAGAGTGAATGAGCATCGAAACTGAATAATGACTGATAACGATAATAGAGTTCGATAAAGCGAAGTGAATGACCACCAGCACTAAAAAAACTGGTAGTTGTAGAAATTTGATTTTGATTAGAATGAAGAACTTGACACCAAATAGTATGTATACGTTCTTCGAACTGATTAAGAGGAGTATTAGATTTATTGGACGATAACAAAGTTGATGTAGAAAAGTCGGGTGAAGGAAGTTGTTTTCTGTCTACTTTTCCATTTTGATTCAAAGGTAGTTTATCAAGTATAATAAAGAAAGATGGTATCATATGTGGTGGAAGATGAGATTGACAGTGTTGACGTAGTTGTTCTTCATTCATATGAGAAGAAGATTGAACATAAGCAACTAAATAATCATTATTCCATTTCACAACAACACAGGCAGAAATAGATGTAATGCTAAGTAAACATCGTTCAATTTCCCCAAGTTCAATTCTTTGTCCATGAAGTTTGATTTGATGATCTTTTCTTCCTTGATAATAAAGAAGACCATGGTTATCCATTGTAACATGATCACCTGTTCGATAAAATAGTTGACCATCTATTTCAACAAGGGCTTTTGCAGTTAAATCATCACGTCTAAGATAACCAGCAAAGACACCGACTCCTCCTATAAACAATTCTCCTTCTTGAGCTGTGGTAGATGATTGTAAGTATTGATTTATAATAATGCATCGGTAATTAAAAAGTGGTCTACCGATTGAGATGTTACGTACATTAGTTTGAACATGTACTTTATGGGAGGTAGAAACTATAGTTGCTTCGGCTGGACCGTACAAGTTCCATAATCTACAAGAATGTGGGACTGAACTTAAGATTAAGTGTACGAGATTGACAGAACATATTTCACCTATAAAAATGTAGAAAAACTTGGCATAAAATTACTATCAGGCAAAATTTACATACCACCGCTGCAAAGGGATCGTAGACTTTTGACAGCTGTAAGCTGATTAGATTTTTGCAAAAAACTAAACAAATGTTGAAGAATAGTTGGCACAGTTGTGAAGTATGTAACATTCTTCGACTTGACAACGTCAATTAGATAGTCAAAGTTGATGGTTCCTCCAAGATGTGGCATTACTAATGAAGCTCCTGTTATCAATGTGCCAATAATATCTTGAATATGAAGATCAAATGAACAACGCGCTACTTGCATAATTATATCGTTTTCATTCAATACATCACCGCGTACTAACGAACGCATCAACTGAATGAAATTTTGATGCCAAACTTGAGCCTTCAAGGAAAAAAATTATTCTTATAACGACAAGAAAAATACTATTTTCAACTAACCGCTTTCGGTGTTCCTGTTGAGCCACTTGTGAAGATGATGTAGGCTACAGCGTCTGGACCTACTAATACATTTGTCAGCTTACTGACATGAACTTTATAGTCCGCCTTTGTGTCAGTTAGAACTAAATCAATATCAAGTAGCACAATATCATCATTAAATTTCGTTTTTGTCAACCAATGAATAAGAACAAGACGACTTTGTGTTTGTTGTACAAGTGTATATAAACGATGTTGTGGATCTCGAGGTGATAATGGACAATAAACACCACCAGCCATTTCAATTGCCATTATACCAATAACCTATACAGTATGAAAACATCAATCAGACTACACATCAATCTCAAACAATAACTCACCATCGACAAACTTCTCTCAACACATTGACAAATGATTTCACCTGGAAATACATTATATTCATTAAGAAGAGTTAAAGATAATACTTGGACATAATGTAGAAGTTCAGCATATGTCATAGATTGTTCATCAAGTTCAACAGCTACTTTTTGTGGATGTTTCATTACTTGACACACAAACTTATGATGAATACAGTTTACAGAAGAAAATGATACTTGTGTATTATTCATTGATTGCATGAGCAATCTTTCATTTGATAATATTAGTGATATTTCATAGATCGATTTATTCACTTGATCACCAATAGATGTAAATAATTGATTCAAGGTTGAATGAAATCGTTGAGATATCTTATCGATTGTTTCTACGTTGAATAAATCAAGTGATGCATTGATTGTGCATGAGAGTCGATTGATATTGAGATCATGTTGAATTATAAGTGAGAAATCATACATATTTGTAATCACATTATCATTAATATTCATTGTGATTGGTATCGATGAAAGTTGACTATCACCAATCATTATTAGTTTATTGTCACTTCTTGTCATAGATGATTGAAATTTAAATGACATATCAAGAAATGCTGGTTTTGATATATTTGGATGTTGATTGAGAATATGTTGTAGTGGAAAATATGAATATTTCATACTCTTAGTTGTTATCTCTTGAGCATAATCGATTAGATATTGAAAAGACCAGTAAGGATCTAATTGGCATCTCATTGAAATGATATTCTCAAACAATCCAATTATAGATTTCAGTTCGTTTCTATAACGATTGTTGATGTTCATTGAAATACATAAATCTTTTTCACCATTCGTTAATTTAAATAAGAAGATAAAGTAAATAGCAAGTGCTAGATGTTCATGTTTGATATTGTTTGATGATGCATTCAGAAGAAAATGATGGGAAAGATCTTGACCAAAATCAAAAGAGATAGATGTTGTCCGATTAGTTCGATGTTCATTCGTGAGACGATATCGATCGTATGGTAATGACAAAGATTGATCGAGTTTACAATCATGAAGAGCATCAAGCCAAAACATACTTGCGCCAGTCATGGACATTTGTTGCTCAATAAGAGCATCTGAATTAACAGAAAAAAGCAGTTGAAACAGAACAAGGAATTGAATATACTTACAATCGATATAACGTAGATTATTGTTGTCATCATATGATAGTTGACCTATTGTATATGCTTGATTAAGATCATGATGAAATATATCCATTGATGGATAATCAAAGAAAGCATGATGAAAGTTGAAGATAATTAGATCTTTGTGAGAAAGAAGATGATCTGAAGAAATCCCTTTGTAGTAGATAATATGACATCGAAAGACAAGCCCTTGAGCAAGATCAAAAAGTTGAGGATTACATTTCTCATTTTCAATGATATCATTGAGTTGTTTATCAGTTTCATGAGTACTTTCAATAAATGTGAAAAGTTGTCTATTGTTGTCATTCATATCAACGACTCGTTGCATGAGTAAATTCTTTGCACTATCAAAATGAAGTGATGTATGAAGTGAGAGATGCCTGTGAACGGTGAGATGAAGAGCATGATGAAGCTGCTGTACAGATAAAATATGACCTGGTTGTAGATGATAAACAAAAGGCATATTGTAGATTGTTAGCTGAGGCTTGTCCGGATCGAAGCAAATTCTTTTATCAAGCCATATACGAGTTTGTGCAAACGATGCCGTTGCTATATGAAAGAGAAAGCAATTAAATATGATTAGTGACATTGCTTGTAAAATGTATTTTGTGTGACTTTCAACCATTGTAGAACTACTCTACGAATACAATTTTTAAATAGTATAACTAAAGTTGTTGTTTACGAGAGGCAGATGTGCTATTACATCAATCATACATTAGAAACTTGAAATAAACAGACAAACGAAATACGTCGCCATGATATTCTTAATACGTCGTCAGTTGCATTTTCTTTTGAATATTCTAGTGCTTCAAACTGTTGAACTAGAGAATCTTTTAAACGATATAATAATTTTTTAGAAAAACCGTTTAGAAATCAAAGAATCAGCCTTAGACAAAATGTTCACCGGTGGCATAAATGCTTATTTTTAGCGAAAAAATGACGCTTCAGTAAAAAATGCTAGTTTTGACAACGAAAAGGAGACAAACTGTACGACAATTAACACCATTCCATAATCATTTCTAAGAAAAACTATCTCCAATAATAAATTCATGTTCGTCTATATGAAAACCAATCTTGAAAAAGAGTGTGTATCTATAGGAATAAAGACTCCACATTCACATCCGCTTACAGTGTCACCGATACTATAGTTGAACACTGGTTCTCCGATGATTCGAACAATATAGGAACATATCTAGCGATACTTCTGTATAGTGTGCCAGTTGTCGATAGAGATTTTAACTATGAAAAACGTCATATCTAGATACACATACCTTCGTTTATAATATGTGATTGTCGACAAAAGATAATATCTTCCATTTCTTGAGTTTCTTCTGGTAGAATAAGATTAATTTTCGATATAGATGTAAAACACGTATCAATTCGATTGATAGTTTCATACGATGAAAAAAGTTGTTGAAAACAATATTCTAATCTTCGACCTATATTTGTAACTGTAATCTCATCAAACAGATCCCGTGAACAAGTAAAACGAAATGATAGTCTATTATTTTCTAACAGTGGATTATAGATAAATGTTAGCATAAAATCGAACTTAGCCACTTCAAACGGTTGTTCTGCTGACACATGTTCAAAAGCTGCTCCATCCAAAGATAATTCATCGCTGTGTGACGATAAAGTAATAAAGTCATACATTGTTTCGAGAAATGAAATATTTGATTGATTAATATGTAAATTAGCAAGAATCTGTTGAAGTGGATAATGTGAATGTTCAAGAATTGATAAACATTTTTCTTGCACATACTTAACGAGTTCATCAAATGACCAATGAGGTTCAGCTTGAATACGATATGGTAGTGTCGAAACAAACATTCCCATTATATTCTGCAGTTCAGTTTTATGTCGATTAGCATTAAGACAAGAAATACATAAATCATTTTCACCATGCGTTAACTTGAAAAGAAAAGCATATAATATACTTAGACCTAACTGAAATGGTGTCACATGATGTATAGAAGCATAATCAAGAAATAATTGTGAAATTTCGTTGTTAAAAGAGATTTGAGTGACAGAAGCAGAACTCGATCGATGATCATTAGATGACCGATGTCGATCAACTGGTAATAATAGTCGAGAGTCGAAATTGTATCCTTCTAATTGTAAATACCAAAATGCACGAGATGTTGTCATATCAATTAGACGCTCATGTACACTATAATCAATATATTGCAATGATTCGTCATTGTCTTCTATTGATATTGCATTCGTATTATAAGCTAAACATAGGTCATTGAAAAAGATCGGAAAACTTGCTCGATCAAATGCTGCATGATGAAAAGCAATGAGGAGAACATCAGAATTAGTCATGAATTCATTATTATTATTTTCATTTTCATTTAATAGTATTTGATGTCTTAGTATTTCAACATGAAAAACACGACCAGTTGATAAATCGAAGAGATTAGGATTAATAGTTGTTTGACAAATAATATCTCGAAGTTCATCGTTGTTTTCAAATGTTCGATTCATAGTTATTCTGAATGTTTTATGTATATCTGTGATGCATTGTTTCATACTACTATTATCATTGTTAAATACAAGGAATGTACGTAATATTTTATGTTTATTCAAAACATATCGAAGTGCTTGTGATAAATGATTTAATGATAATGATCCTTGAACAAGTTGTAAAGTGAACAATTCATTATAGATAGCAATATTACTCGAAAAACGAACTTGTTCATCAAGAAATATGCGCTCTTGAGCAAAAGAGGCAACACCTGTGAATTAAGTAATAGAAATTATTCTAATAATTTCCTAGTAAATAGTTTTACCTTCATTTATATGTAACGTGTACCATTGTGTTGCCTTGTTATTATTGATTGTAACTGTTTGAAGTAGTTGTGAATGTTGAAATATAGTTGGTTGTTGAAGAAATGGAGCAATCGAAAGTGTATGAGTATCAAAGTTAAATACTGATTGATAATGATGATAAAGTTCAATAAATAAAAGTGAATGACCACCAACACTAAAAAAACTGGTAGTTCTAGAAATGTGGTTTTCATTACAATGAAGAACTTGACACCAAATAATGTGTATACGTTCTTCGAACTGATTAAGAGACGTATCAGATTTATCGGACGATAACAAAGTCGATAGAGAAAAGTCGGGTGAAGGAAGACGTTTTCGATCTACTTTTCCATTTTGATTCAAAGGTAATTTGTCAAGTATACTGAATATTGACGGTATCATATGTGGTGGAAGATGAGATTGACAATGTTCACGCAATTCTCTTTCATTAATATCAGAACTTTGAACATATGCAACTAAATGATCATCGTTCCATTTCATGACAACACAAGCAGAGATAGATGTAATGTTAAGTAAACATCGTTCGATCTCACCAAGTTCAATACGTTGTCCATGTAGTTTTACCTGATGATCTTTTCTTCCTTGATAATGAAGAAGACCATCGTTATCCATTCCGACAAGATCACCTGTTCGATAAAATAGTTGACCATCTATTTCAACAAGAGCTTTTGCAGTTAAATCATCACGATCAAGATAACCAGCAAAGACACCTACTCCTCCCACTAGCAGCTCACCTTCTTGGCCGATAACAGATGGTTGTAAGTATTGATTGATAATCATACATCGGTAATTAGGAAGTGGTCTCCCAATTGGAATCTTCTGTGTATCATTTGTAACATTCACACAATAAAGTGTAGAACCTATGGTTGCTTCTGCTGGACCATACAAATTCCACACAATACAGTTTGTTATACCGATTTTTACAATCAAATCAATTAAAGGAACAGAAAAAGATTCACCTACAACAATAAACATACCCTAGATAAGCAAACGAAATGAATTCGGAAGTCACTCACCACTACTACAAAGTGAACGAAGATGTTTCAAGACATTTTGATTGCTATTTTGTTCGACAAAAGTAAAAAAACTGTGTAGTAAACTTGGAACAGTGTGTAGATAAGTAATCTGTTTATTCTGTAACACTTCGAATAAATACACGAAATCAATTGTTCCACCAGGATGAAGCATAATCAATGTGCCTCCCGCCAACAATGTACCAAGTATTTCTTGAACATGGATGTCAAATGAACATCGTGTCATTTGTACAACTGTATCATCTTTATTAAATGAGTTAATATAAGCCAAAGAATGTATACAATCAATAAAGTTCTGATGTCGAACTTGAACCTATCAAAGAGCATGAAAATAAATCAAAAACTCGAAAATTTAGTGTTAACGAACCGCTTTCGGAATACCAGTTGAACCACTAGTAAAAATAACGTACGCTATCTCTTCGCCTTTCACTTTCACACCCTCAAGGCAATTATAATTCATGTCACTATCCATATTATTAACCTTTAATATTGAATCAATATCAAGTGCAGCAATATCATGATCGAATTTGATCTTAGTTAAATGATGAACAAGAATAAGACGACTTTGTGTTTGCTGTGTGAGTGCATGCAAACGATGTTGTGGATCTCGAGACGATAATGGACAATATACACCACCAGCCATTTCAATAGCCATTATACCAATCACCTAATTAGAAGTCAATCTTGAACTCTCATCAGTAGTTACTCAACTTAATCAACTTACCATTGACAAACTTCGCTCAACACATTGACACACGACCTCACCTGGAACCACATGATTTTCATTAAGAAGAGTTACAGATAAGATCTGAACATAATATAGAAGTTCACAATATGTCAATGATTGTTCATCTAGTTCAACTGCTAGTTTTTGTGGATGTTGCATTACTTGATATACAAACTCATGATGAATACAAGTGAGAGGAGATGAAAATGATATTTGTGTATTATTCAATGATTGCATTAGATATTGTTCATTTGATAAAGTTAATGATAATTCATGGATTGGTTTGTTTGTTGTACAGCCGAAACATGTGAACTGTTGATGCAACATTGCTTGTAATCTTTGTGTAATTAAACAAACTGTTTCAATATTAAATAAATCAAGCGATGCATTGATTGTGCATGAGAGTTCATTTAGATCCAGATTATGTTGAAAACTAAGAATAAAATCAAATTTACTCATTATTTCATCTTCACTAATCTTAATTGAATAAGGTAGTAAAGAAAATCGACTATCACCAATCATTATTTCATTCTTCTCATCTCTTCTTGTAGATGATAGAAACTCAAACGATGTATCAAGAAATACAGGATTTGATATATTTGGATGTTGATTGAGAATACGTTGAAGAGGAAAATATGAATATTTAGTACAGTTTATCATAATATCTTGAACGTGCTCAGTAAGTTGATGGAATGATAAATGAGGATCGAGTTGACATCGCAAAGGTATAGCATTCACAAACATTCCAATAATAGATCTAAGTTCATCTCTATATCGACCATGTGTATTTATTCCAATGCATAAATCTT